GTGGCAGTTTTTGAGATATCGTGCGAACAGAAAAGGGGAGAAAGAAAGAAGAATAAGAAAAAAAAGAAGATGATGATGATGATCCTGACAATAACAAGAGGTGATCCGCTAGTGTAGCGGATCACCAATTAATTTTTATATAGCCTGAGTTAGTTTCGACCTAGACAAACCTTTGCTAAAAGGTACACTTTCTCCAAGAAAAGGCTTCTTCAATGAATGGAATGACCTATTCGAAGCACGAACTCCTGTAGACCAAACCAAGTACCGTTACGATGTTTAGTCGTACGGGAAATCCACTCACGATGCAGTACCGTTACGATTTTTAATCGTACGGGAAATCCACTCACGAAATATTTTCTAATTTTATTATATTACCACCTTTTTATTACATAGATCTTTTTCAAAACATAACTGCTTTTATAACATTATTATAGACCCATTAAACACAAAAACTGCTCTGGCTTCGGGGGCTTCGCCCCCGACCCCACCGGGGCCTCTGGACCCCACGCCCAGAGAATCCCCCCCTTGAAATGACCTGGCTACGGGCCTGGTTATTATAACGTTTTTATAACTTTTTGTACAAGGAATCTGCAAATAAAACGCAATATATGGCGACGTTTTAAAATCGTTTTAAGAACGATTTTTAAAAACGATAACAATTTATCTGACAATTGGTGAAAATTTGTTTTTGATATAACGTTCTGTGAACGTTGTGATTTCGTTCTAATTATACATTTGTTGAGGAGTCTTTGTGTATGTTATTATAACGTTTTTATATCGTTATGGTGCATTAGATCTGCAAACAAAAGGCAATATTACACTGCGACGTTTTAACATCGTTTTTAAAACGTTTTATAAAAACGATAACATTTTTGATGAAAGTTGGTGAAAATTTGGTTATATAACGTTCTGTAAACGTTGTGATTTCGTTCTATTTTATGCACCTGTTTGTAAGTTTATTTGCGTACTTTTTTCGAATGTTTTTTTAACGTTTTGGTGCAAACAATCTGCAATCAAAAGGCAAGGTTTACACAGCGACGTTTTAAAATCGTTTTTAAAACGTTTTATAAAAACGATAAAAATTTTTGTGAAAAGTTGGTTGTGATATAAAGTTTACAGAACGTTGTGATTTCGTTCTATTTTATACACTTGTTTTTAAGTTTTTTGCGTACGTTTTTTTAACGTTTTGGTGTAAAAGTCTCTTATCAGAAAGCACAATTTTTTAACTTGCACGTTTTAAAAACGTTTTGAAAACGTTTCACAAAAACGAAACCCAAACTAAAACCAATTCAAAACGTTTTTTTAACGTTTTGTGTTAGCTGGGTAGGTCTATTATTATGGAAAAAAAATGCACTAGCACAGTTAATTTGACAAAGTCGCCATGGCATGGCATGACAAGTCTAGGCTAGGCTAGTAGTAGAAACCTACTAACTTTACCGTCAGCTGGATAAGGCTGCATGCGAACTCACCTGCTGCGGGACTGGAGCAGTGTCCGGGACAGGAGTGCGCTAATGCTGCTGGGTAGACACTGACTGTGCTAATCATAGGCATAGGTGTAGACCTAATTATAAACAAACAAGTCATCGGACTGATATACGTTTATTAATTCAATTGAATTATTCCTCCATGATTGAATTGACGTTGACTAAACCGTCTCTCTATAACTGCGTACGTAAACGATTACTGAGTACTAGTGTACTGTATGTATTGTCTAGTCGCTCGATCGTCGGGACGATTTTTCGATCAGCTGCTTGCCCAAATTGACAGACTTTTCTTGAATATATATATATATATATGAGTTGGTTAGAAAATGCTACCAAGCTACTGAAAAAAAAGTGATCAGCCTCGTTTTCACCCGATTTTCCTGTCTCATCATATCATGTTTTGTTTCTGTAATTATCGTTGCATCTCAACATTTTGATTTTTGAAAGTATTTTTCCCGAACTCAGGAAAGGTTAAATAAGCAATATATGGCCACTTGTCTCATCCATCCCGGCACCACCCCCCCCCCTTCTTGAAGTCAGCTAAAAGACTATTGAGAAAAAAAAATCATAAGAATTTGTATATAAATAAAATGATGTGCTGTGATTACCAACAAAAATTTATAAAAATGACAATTATATTTTTTTTTTTGCGAAAAAACGTAAAATATATTGAACAGCGCCACCAATTCGAAAGTACACGAAAACAAGACAAAAACACCACACGTTGTTGATATTTGTGTTAATAAGGCTAATATATATTATATAAAAATATAATATATAATATAGGCCTAATTTGGTTTTATCAAGGCTTCCCGGCTGGTTTAACTCAAAAAACAGATTAAATATAGGACTATTCTGCATAGAAATATCTTACTGCGGGAGAGCGCGTGCAGCGTCCGTGTTAGGGGTGTCCCGAAAGCTCAGACCACGAAAGCTAAGACCTAAGACTACGCGGTATCAGACCCACTCGAAATATCAGACCCCGCAAATTAAGACCCTCAACTAATAATGCCAGGATTTCCAGACAATAATACCTTTATTCGAAAGCTAACATCAATATATAGAACTGAATAATCATGAAATAAACACCAGTAAGTATTATCGATACCTACGGAAGCACCTAAGTGCCATTCGACTTGACGACTTGTCAAGATAATTATGTTGTCAAGTTGACATAATATACATATCATGCCGACACGGCGAGATAGATTATCTTGACAAGTCGACATACTAAAAATGTTTTGTTGTCATAACGAGATAGGCGATATCATACTAAAAAGTGTATGTATTATGTCGACTTGTCAAGATAATCTATCTCGCCATGACAACATACAATTTTTATTATGTCGACTTGTCAAGAAAATCTATCTCGCCATGACAACATACAACTATTATTATGTCGACTTGTCAAGACAATCTATCTCGCCATGACAAGATACAATTTGTATTATGTCGACTTGTCAAGATAATCTATCTTGCCATGATAACATACAACTTTCATTATGTCGAATTGTCGAGATAATCTATCTCGCCATGACAACATACAATTTTTACTTTGTCGACTTGTCAAGATAATCTATCTCGCCATGACAACATACAATTTTTACTATGTCGACTTGTCAAGATAATCTATCTCGCCATGACAACATACAATTTTTACTATGTCGACTTGTCAAGATAATCTATCTCGCCATGACAACATACAACTATTATTATGCCGACTTGTCAAGATAACCTATTGCCATGACAACATACAACTTATATTATGTCGACTTGTCAAGATAATCTATCTCGCCATGACAACATACAATATGTATTATGTCGACTTGTCAAGATAATCTATCTCGCCATGACAACATACAATTTTTAGTATGTCGACTTGTCAAGATAATGTATCTCGCCATGTCGACATGATATGTATATTATGTCGACTTGACAACATAAATTATCTTGACAAGTCGTCAAGTCGAATGGCACTTACGTGCTTCCGTAGATACCAGCCATGGAGTTATAATTATTTTGATAATAATAACTCCATGTACCAGCTAGGCCCCTATTTGCAACGTTTACTCGAGAAAACAAATACAGTACAAACAAACCGTTGTTAGTGGCTACTCAAGGGAACCGTACAGTTTCGATAGCGGTTTCTAATGCATATCGTGCGAATATCTGATTCTCAATCGTTCTCGATAATAATAATAGTAATAATAGTAATAATAATATCAATAACAATAACAATAACAATAACAATGATAATGATAATGATAATGATAATAATAATAATAATAATAAATAATAATAATAATAATAATCGGGACACCCCCCCCCCCAGGTCAGGCCATTATGTACTGTAGTGTAGGCCTATATTTATTATTACTGTGGTAGTATATTTTTTTTTAGCATCTCTGTTTTTTTAAGCCATTTTCAACTATTAGTATACTTGACTTTAGCTTGTGTAATTTTGCATATACATATTTTGGTTCTGAAAAAATGATAGTCCAAACCAAAGAAAAATGCAATGTGAGGCATTACATTCGTTTAAAATAGTATTTTATTATCAATGCTACTCTATTATCAATGCTGTATTAAAAATGAACGTCACCGATATTTTCAAATATTTAAAACATTTTTAAAATGCCATTTTGAAATGATAACTTCAAAATCAGAATACTGTACATGATTGATATAAAAATGAAAGTGCTAAAACAATTAATCATTTACATTATGATTAATAATAATTATTAGACCCAAAATTTAATTTACATCCTAATATAAAGGTAATACCATGACATTTTGTCATATTCTAAACATGCATGAAATGTTGTCAAAGCAATGCTAACATAATGTTAAAATGCTTTAGAACAAAGAATAAAAGTATATGTAGATTTTTTAAAATTAACTTTTAGTTATAATATAGTAAGCGATGAAAAGGAAATATTACTTTCAAGTTATATAAAGAAAAGAATAATTCTATAGAAAGTCTTGCATGCATGACTATCCATTAAACTATTTCCATGACTTAACAAATCAAAATATCTTGATATTTTATTCGAAAAATAAATGGGCCAAGACTAGAAAAATCTATATTAAAAAATGTGTGCTACACCATAAAAATTAATAGAAGCAGAAGCAGTCGAATTCCTTACATTAATGTATTATTCATAATGGTGATGGTTTTGTATTTATATAGTGTCTTTCACAATCAAAGTCAGAAGTAGAACTGTTGCATGATAACCTTCCATTGCTTATCCTTTTTCATGAGTGATGCAGATATGTACAGTGAGGTAACCCTGAAAGAACAAAATGATTTTGTAGGCTAAATTTCATTTCTGAAAAATACAGTATTTTTTTTTTAAATTATTCACAGAGATTAAATAATTAATGTGTACATACTGTAATGATTATGATGATAATGATGTTGATGATGATGATAATAATAATAATTATAATAATAAAAATAATAATTGAAATAATAATAATAATAATAATAATAATAATAATAATAATTTATATTGATATAGCACCAATAATAATAATAATAATAATAATAATAATAATAATAATAATAATAATAATAATTTATATTTATATAGCACCAATAAACAATAAATAAATTAGTCTCACAGCACTTTACAGAATACTGGAATACAATTTGTACATAATCAAACTTAGACTGGTTCTTTAAACAAAATAATAGTGTATAAGTGCATGTATTGTATAGATAAAATATTATTGCTATTATCATTATAGATATCACAATATCAGTATCAACATTATTAACATTATAATTATCAGCACATATTATCACTATCATTATATATTGTTATCATCATAGTGACTATATATTTTCATCATCAATCATTATAGTGTATTATGATTGATTACTTACTGCAATACATTGCTTAGTCCACTACATTGCAGTATCATAAGCAATAGATAACTACTGTGATGAAGCCTAGCATTAACCTGCAATAGTCTTAACTCAGTCCATCCATCTTTCATATGAAAGAAACAATAAAGTTACAGTTAATATAATTGGTTTGATTGAACAAAGGTTGTCATGCCTACCTAGGCCTATATATCCTTGGCACTGATTACTGCTACTTCTTTACTAAGCATACTTCTAATAACAATTTTAATAATAATAATAACAAAAATAATACTAATAATAATAATAATATACATAATAAAATATAATATAGGCCCATATAATAATAATAATAGATTAATAATGTAATACATATATATATTAATAATGTAATATATATATAATATATATATATAATATAGGCTCATATAATAATAATAATAATAATAATAATAATAATAATAATATTGTTATTAAAAATAAATACAGCAAGATCATATGTAATTGATAACCAATTCCAGGTACCAATTAAACTTATATGGCCTATACCATGTACGTTCTATGCTGCGTACGTAGGCTAGCGAAACCCGTGCCCTGTTGAGATACTAAATTTAGGCCCCAACATTGTCGACATAACACAACAGTGATGGTTTTTATGATGATTAAGGATCACACTAGTATCAACATATTATATGGGGAATTACATTTAACAGCAAAATTAGATAATAAATGAGCTGCCTACCTTTTTTTTTTTTGGAAAAACTTTAGAATACCCTTTCTTCCACATCCTTTCAAGCTCCAGTCGATTTTCCGTGATGAACAGGTGCCTGGGTACGTCATCTAATAAATATTCATGATTTTTTTTGGCGAAACCTCTAAAAATTGATTTCTTTTGGCTGCAGCCCGTGACGTATTTTTACAGATTGTTTCTGTTATCACTCAACGTGGTTTACTTCCGTGTGATTGCGCGTTTGTGTACTAAACAGCGCCACGTAATGGAATTAGGTAGGGCGCGCTACTTAACTTATATCTTAGAAACCACAGTGCATATTTAGAATGAAACCGTTTCGAATAGGTGAAAAGAAGTGGAAAAAGGCCAAAGTATGCAAAAGACTAAGTGAAAGGTCTTACAAGATGGTACAAGGAAATACCATGTACATACGAAACCGTGAACACTTATGGAAAACCAAAGAACAACCGGACTTCTCAAACTATGATATTCCTGACCCACCGACTAACGCACATCAAATTGAAGATGTCACTAACACG